GATCCGCCTCGAGAGCGGGTGCATCGTCGCGCGGCGGTGGCGGGGTGGCAGCGAGGAGCAGCGCCGCGGCCACCTCGACGCCGGCCAAGCAGACGCGATCCAAGGCCACACCGTCATCGACGTCGCGCACCAAGGCCACGCCCTCTTCCTCGTCGTCCTCATCGACGGCGGCGGCGGCGAGCACGACGCTGGCCAAAGACGCAGCGGCGTCCGGGTCCGGTACGCCGTCGAGGCCCGCGGCGGCTACGCGATCCTCGACGCGCAACGTGGCGTCCGAGTCGAGGAGTACCCGCCGCACGCGGCGTTGAGCGAGCGCCCCAGGGCAATCCACCTGTCACCTCTGCTCGTCAGATTGTGTCGGATCGGCGGAAGGCGTGCCGTGATCGATCCCGCTGCAATCCTAGCCTGTGCTGCTGCGCTGCGAGAGTGATGGCATGTTGTCGAGACACGATGCGTGGGCCGAGTCGGCAGTCTAGAATACATTGGATGGGCAGGCCGGGGCGGGGCGGGACGGGGCTCCTCGGACCGTCATGCCGCCTTGGCTGGCGCGGCGGGCGGCGGCGCATCTGGCTTGTGGGCCTGGTCGACCTTTGGCCTGCCGTCGCGCTGTACGCGCAGGCGGGCGTCGGCCTCGCGGATGTCGAGGCCGGCGTCGAACCACTGCTTCATGTAGGCCTGGACCTTGTCGCCCGTCTCCTGGGCGTCGACGCTCCTGCCGAAAGCGTCGACAAACTTGCCCTCGGGATCCATGAGGTAGAAAAAGATGCTGTGGTCGACGAGGTAGTCGCCGTTGGGGTCTGCGTCGGGGGGCGTGGAAAAGTAGACGCGGTAGGCCTTGCAGGCGCGCTTGACCTCGTCAAAGGAGCCCGTGAGGCCGACCATGGACGGGTGGAAGTCGTCGACGTAGCGCGCCAGCGCCTCGACCGTGTCGCGCGCCGGGTCGCAGCTGACAAAGACGGGGTTGATGTAGTTCTTTCCGCCAAAGTGGTTGGCCATGCGGTCGACGACCTCGCCCATCTTGTCGAGCTCCTCGGGGCAGATGTCGGGGCAGTTTGTGAAGCCAAAGTAGATGAGGCTGAAGCTGCCGAGGAGGTCGTCGTGCGTAAACGGGTGCGAGGTCGACGTGACGAGCGAAAAGGGCCCGCCGATGCGCGGCCGCCCCACCTTTGCCTGGGCCGTGTCGGCGGCGCGGCGCGCCTGCACCTGCGCCTTTTCGCGCTGGAAGTAGTAGAGCAGGCCGGCGCCCGTGGCGAGGAAGAGGAGGCCGGCGCGCAGGTTAAAGGGCCCGACGGCGGCGCGCGTCTTTGCCGCCTCGCGGTCCGACGAGGGCGAGTTGCCGCCGCCGCCGCTGCTGCTGGCGTAGCCGCGGGTCGAAAGCGCTCGCAGCGGCGAGGATGACCCTGACCCTGATGCGAGGCGGCCAAGGGGAGCGGCGGTTGGAATGGCTCGGCTCCTGGCGAATGCGGAGCGCATGCACTGCGTTGCGAGTGGGAGCGCGGACCTCATGGTGGTGGTGGCGGCGGTGGGGGGTGGTGGTGGTGGTGGTGGTAACGGGAGGGGCCAGCGGGGATGGTAGCAAGAAGAAAGGGCGCTGCGCGGTGCTGCTAATTCGGCCATGGGAGCGGCCCGCACGGCTGAGTCAGCGGGCAAAGCGGCGGCCGACTGAGCCAAAAGGGCAAAGAGAGAAGGGACGAGTGATCGGGGCGTGCAGCTCGCGGCAGCTTCCCCCTCCACCTCGTGGCTCGTGGCTCGTTGGGGGCCAGCGGCAGAGGCCCCCATTTGTCGGCTTAGGCCTCCTCTCCCACCTACTACCACCACCCACCCACCCACCGCCTCCTCCCAAAATGAGCGGCAAACGCCTCAACAAGCGTCAGCTACGCGAGCAGCAAGAGCTCCAAGAACTCGCACAAGCTCAGGCAGCCGCACCCGCACCCGGAACCGCTCCAGACCAGCCCAACGACGCCGACCATGGCCACCACAGCCCTCAACAGCAGCCCGACGACGACGACGACGACGACATCAACGCAGCCCCTGCCGCAAAGCAAAAGAAGAGCAAAAAGGCAAACAAGCAACAGCCACCACCAGCCTCTATCTTTGCCGCGCTAGGAGACCAGCAGGATAACGACGACGACGAGGCCGACCCAGACGCTGCCCCTGCCGACGACGACAACGATGACGAACCGGAAACCTCTCCCGCCAACCCTGCAACAACGGCCAAGAAGAAGAACAAGAAGAAAAAGAAGCCAAAGAAGGCACCCGCCGACGGCGACGACGATGCCCACAGCTCCCCCGCCCCACCACCATCCAAAAAGGCATCGAAAAAGGCCAGCGGCACCGCATCTGCAGCCCCGGCAAAGGACGTCGACGACATGACCATGGACGAGCTCAACGCCCTCCTCGAGTCCCAGGCCAAGCTCGCAGACCAGCAGCGCCGCGCCGACCAGGGCAAGCCCGGCAGCTCGGCCACCCTCCGACCCGTCAGCGTGTCCGCCTTCCGCACCCACCTCGCCCTCGACCCGCGCTCCCTCGACCCGGCCATCGAGCTGCGCCGCCAGTTTGGCTCGGCCGCCATCAA